CGCAGCTTCGGGGAGGAGCCCCCGGAGGAAAACCGGGTGCACCTGGGACACGCCATCATGTCCTTCTACGCCGCCTTGATCGACCTGCTGGGACGCTGCGCGCCGGAGATGCACGTGAGCCCTGGAGGCCTGGGCAGCTGGGCGGAGGACAAGCGTGTGCTCTGTCCCACTGCCAACTAAGAGTTCACCGCAGGGCTAGGGCCAGTCATCCAGACAGCGTTAGCCCCCGTCCCCTCCCCGCCAGGTCTCCAGACCCGCCACCAGGCCTTGACAGCCCAGAGGAGGCAGCTGAGCACAAGTAACAGCTCCTTTTAACCGGAGGGGTCTCCCTTGAGCCCCCTCCTTATCATCCACAACCTATAGGTCAGGGTAGGAAACCACCCCCCACCTCACCCCCGTGGGTTTCTCAGACCAGACTGCAAACCTTTACCAGAGGAGACAGCTTCCTCTCTCTCCCAGGTGGCAGGTTGGAACTGCTGACCTTGCGGTTAGCAGCCCATCGTGTAGAGCCAGGAGACCATCCGAACCAGACCAAACTCACTACCGTTGTGTTGATTCCGACTCACAGCGACCCCATAGGACAGGGTAGAACTGCCCCTCTGAGTTTCGAAGGTTTTCTCACAGGGAGCAACTAGTGGGCCTGCAAGACCCACCTGGCTCTTAGCAGCCTGTCCTAAGCCACTCCACCAGCAGGACTCCAGTAGCCTCTCTAGTGCTGTCTGAAAACTTCAAGGGCCCCAAAGTTGATTGTAGTTACCTCTGAGCTGCTGGGAAAGAGGCGGCACCAGTTTCAGACAGAGCTGTGTGTGTGTGTGTGTGTGTGTAGGAATGATTCAGGAAGCTGTCTGATCAGATCTCTTTGGAGACTAAGATGTTTTCACAAAAGACAGCGACCGCCCCCCTCTGATGTAAGACCCCCTGGTGTCTGACAAGCCCCCTTTGTTGGAAGGATCTTTGCAAGAACAGTGGGCTGACGCAGCAGAGAGGTCTGAAGGAAGATGCCTTCCGGAGGGGGATTTCCCGGCTGTGAGAAGGGCCCATGGTTTCAAGCCTGGCCTGGAATTTTGGCATCCCAAGAGAAGGAGGGCAGGATGGGTGGGATATAGCAGTGATGACGTGGGGCACCCGATAACCTGCCCACCCACCCCATCCAGCTGATCCAAGCCGGCAAAGGCGAGGCCCTGCGGATCCGCGCCATCCTGCGCTCTCTTGTGCCCCTGGATGACCTTGTGGGCATCATCAGCCTCCCACTGCAGATCCCCACCCTGGGCAAAGGTGCGGAGGGGCCTAGGGGGAGGTAGGTGGGGTTCGGGAGAGCACCCCTGACTCTCTGCCCACCCTGCCCATAGATGGGGCTCTGGTACAACCAAAGATGTCAGCCTCCTTCGTGCCAGACCACAAGGCGTCCATCGTGCTCTTCCTGGACCGCGTGTATGGCATCGAGAGCCAGGACTTCTTACTGCATGTCCTGGACGTGGGCTTTCTGCCGGACATGAGGGCAGCCGCCTCGCTGGACACGGTGAGCAACCCTACCCAGCCTGGCAACCTCCCTGGCCTCCAGAGGGGGACAGGAGATGGGCCCTGTGGATGGTAGCAATAACACACCCATTTGATCCAAGATCTTGTGTATAGATTGTAACCCCCGACATCAAGAGAAGCGCAATGGGTCGATTCTGACTCACGGTGAGCCTAAAGGACAGAGTAGAGCTGCCTCCGTAGGTTTCTGAGACTGCCCATCTTTAAAGGAGCCGAAAACCTCATTTTCCTCCCATGATGTGGCTGGTAGTTTTGAGATGTTGGCCTTGTGCTTACAGCCCAACGTGTAACCCACTCTGTCATCCGGGCTTCCTGAGCAGAGTAGGAGGCTGGAAGTCAGAAACCAGGATGTTGTCTCTGGGGAAAGTCTGTCTCTCCCTGTCACCTCTGGGGCGGGGAGGTCCCTGTCTCCTTTGAGCTTCTGTTCTGGGAGCACCTCCTGTGCTTGGCACCTCCCTTCCCCTTCCCCCAGCTTCCTAGCTCTCTGATTTAATCTTTTTAAAAAAATCATTGTCTTGGGGGCTGGTACTATTCTGATCACCATCCATCCACCCATCCATTGTGTCAAGCATAGTTTATCTTTTATATCTCAAAAGAGATGGACTCAAGATATAGTTTACACACCTCCAGCCTCATTAGCATACCAAAGACAGCCCATTCCCAGATTGGATTAGAACCACAGTCAGAGAGGTTAGAATTTACAACACATATTGGGGAGAGGCAAGGGACCTAATTCAGTGGGTAAAAGGGACATTAAAACAAAAATCAAGACTGGACCCACTGAGTCGATTCCAGCCCCCAGTGGCCCTGCGTAGGGCTTCTAAAACCCTTGACAGGAAGAGCCAGCTTCATCTTTCTCCCACAGAGCGGCTGGTAGATTTGAACCTCTGACTTTATGGTTAGCAGTCCAATGCTTACCCGACAGCGTCACCAGGACAGCCCTAGGGATGCTAACAGGCAGCTGATAGATGGCCCCACCCTGTGCTCCGTGCCCCAGGCCACTTTCAGCACCACGGAGATGGCGCTGGCGCTGAACCGCTACCTCTGCCTAGCGGTGCTGCCGCTCATCACCAAGTGCGCGCCTCTGTTCGCCGGCACGGAGCACCGCGCCATCATGGTGGACTCCATGCTTCACACCGTGTACCGCCTGTCCCGCGGCCGCTCGCTCACCAAGGCGCAGCGCGACGTCATCGAGGACTGCCTGATGGCGCTCTGCAGGTGCGGCACGCCCTGGGGGTGTGCACTGTCCCTGGGGGCTGGGAGAGGCCGCCCCAGAGCCCGCGCCCACCGCCCTGTGTGCGCCCCCGCAGGTACATCCGCCCGTCCATGCTGCAGCACCTGCTGCGGCGGCTGGTCTTCGACGTGCCCATCCTCAATGAGTTCGCCAAGATGCCGCTCAAGGTGAGGGCCCGTCCGCAGCCGTGAGCTAGTTCCCTAGTCCCCACCCTCAAATTCTGGGCACACACACACACATACACACACACACGACCTCATTAGCATTTTTGATTCACCTTTGCACACGCTAGGATTCCTGGCACATGGTGTGTTTTTTACATCAGTTACATTTAACTGACCTACCAGTGAGCCAGCCCCACCTCAATGAGCATATTTTTCCATGGGGCACACCACTTTTCCCACTCAGCAGGTTCATCCCCAGGCCTGGACCACAGGGAAACTCTCAGGCAGCCAGTCAATTTGGACTCACGGTGACGCTAGAGGGCAGAGTGGAACTGCCCCTGTGGGTTGTAAGACGGTCAGTCTGTATGTCTTCCTGCCTCGGAGCAGCAGAGGGGTTGGAACTGCCGATGTAGTGGGTAGCAGTCCAAAGTAGTAACCCAGCACACCAATAGGGCTTCTGTTTTCTTTGGCACACTCATTTGCATAAGGACAGATCCCTCCATCTGTCCCTTTGCACCTTGTCTCACCCAGGCTCATTACCATCCTGCTTATTAGTGTAAGGCGACAGCAGCCACATCCAGCTCTGACTTAGTGCCCCTGCCCTGAAATTTAAAAACCTGCTGTCACAGGGCAGTGTAGAACCGCCCCCTAGTTTTCCTGAGGCTTTGAATCTTATGGGCCCAGACAGCCTCATCTTTCTCCTGCAGAGTGACTAGTGGGTTTGAACTGATGACCTTGTGGTTAGCAGCTCACTGCCCCATCCGAGGGTCCTTAGGCTTTAAATTACAATGCTCAACTTGCAGTACCACTCCTCATTATATGTCTTTCCTTATTAATCTGTAATTTGCATAAACCATACCTCCTTTCTCATCTGAAAGCACTGCCATATCCCCCGTAGTCTCCCCCACCCCGCCTCATCGCTGGCCTGCCCTCCCCGCCACCTCGTTCACTTGTGCCTCTCTCGCTCTCGGCCAGCTTCTCACGAACCACTATGAGCGCTGCTGGAAGTACTACTGTCTTCCCACGGGCTGGGCCAACTTTGGGGTCACCTCGGAGGAAGAGCTGCACCTCACTCGGAAACTCTTCTGGGGCATCTTTGATTCCTTGGCCCATAAGGTCTGGGCTGCCCAGGGGAACCCCCAAAAGGGACATGGATGGAGGGGTTGGGAGTCTGAATTTGGAGGTTAAAGATGAAACCCCCAAGTCTGGGTGTTCTAGGCAACGAGGCAGGTTTAGATCTTGGAGGACCATTGGGGTGAGGCTCCTCTCTGGGGGCTGTGCAGGAGGACCTGCCCAGAGATGGGCCATCACTCACAAGAGGGGTACTTTGGGTGGGGGTGGGAGGCTGACAGTCCTAGTGAGAGTGATGTTTGAGCTCCAGGGAGGGGGTGCACAGTTCAGTTGTTGGGGTTCAGAGAGGAGGGTTGACAGCTGGAGGGTGTGGGTTCAAGATGTTGGGGTGACCTCCGTGTCTGCAGTGACGTCCCCTCCTCTCTGGCCTCTGCAGAAGTATGACTCCGAGCTCTACCGAATGGCCATGCCTTGTCTGTGCGCCATCGCGGGGGCCCTGCCCCCGGACTACGTGGACGCCTCCTACTCCTCTAAGGCCGAGAAAAAGGCCACGGTGGACGCGGAAGGCAACTTCGATCCCCGGCCTGTGGAGACCCTGAAGTAAGGCCTGGGGGCTGGGAAAGGAAGGTGGGGCGGGGCGGGGACGGGGCGTGGTGAGACTGCTGACTCCTCCCTCGCCGCCTCCTTACAGCGTGATCATCCCTGAGAAGCTGGACTCCTTCATTAACAAGTACGCGGAGTATACCCACGAGAAGTGGGCCTTCGACAAGGTGGGCCCCGCGCCCCTACCGGCCGTCCTGAGAACTACACCCAGGATTTCCCCGGGACCCCAACTTGGCTCATGATTCCCAGTCTTCCCAAGACCCTTCACTTTCCCTGGGACCCTCAGCCTGGGCCCCACCCGTCTCCCCCGACTGCTGCGCACCCCTCCCCCAATCCTGGCCTGGCCTGCTCTCACCCCACCCCACCCCCTCCAGGTCCAGAACAACTGGTCCTATGGGGAGAACATCCATGAGGAGCTGAAGACCCACCACATGCTGAGGCCCTACAAGACCTTCTCGGAGAAGGTGACCCAGAGGGGGGGCGCTTGGGGAGGAGGAAGGCAGGGGACCTGGGGATCAGGGCTGCCCATCCATGGACATCGGCTCCCCTCAGACTTGGTTACCTCCTTCTCAGGACACCAGGCACCTAGTGCCAGCCTCAGCGATCCAGACGTAAAACAGGACGGTGACAGCTGGTTTAGGAGGCTTTTACATGCGGGTTAGGGAGACCTGGGTTAGGGACCAGAGTTAGAGCCCTAGGGGTGCGGCAAGCGTCCCCTCCTGCTCTCAGGATCCATCCGGGAATGATGTCTCTCCTTGTCGCACCTCCTTCTCGCCGACTGCATTAACTAACCCCCCCTCCCCCACCCCACCCCACCCCAGGACAAAGAGATTTACCGTTGGCCCATTAAGGAGTCCTTGAAGGCTATGATTGCCTGGGAATGGACAGTAGAGAAGGCCAGGGAGGGCGAGGAAGAAAAGACGGAGAAGAAAAAAACACGGAAGATATCACAGACTGCCCAGGTGGAGGGGGGGCGGGGGAGGGCGGTCAGGACGGGGCGGGGACGGGATCCGGAGGGGGAGGTGAAAAACTGAGGGGTGGGGGAGGGCACCGGAGAAGGCTGAGGGAGCTGGGATTGGAGAGGGCCTGGCCGGGGTCTAGAGCGTAGAAATGGGTCCAACCCATCCAGCCCCCCATCTCCTCCTCCTCGTCCTCCCAGACCTACGACCCCCGCGAAGGCTACAACCCCCAGCCCCCGGACCTGAGCGGAGTTACCCTGTCCCGGGAGCTGCAGGTGAAGCCTCTGGCCCTTTAAGTGGGGGCCAGAGGGCGGGTGGGCGTGGGGGGGGGGAAGGGGAGAGGGACGGGAATCCCCTCCGAGAATCTGGCCTTTGACTCTGCGCACCTGCCCCCAGGCCATGGCGGAACAGTTGGCGGAAAATTACCATAACACGTGGGGGAGGAAGAAGAAGCAGGAGCTGGAAGCCAAGGGTGAGACACCCACCCCACGAGAACAGCCCCCACCCTTTTCCACAGACCCGGAGACCCAGGTTCCGCAGGCACAGGGGCCACGTCACCACTGTGAGACTTTGAACTTCCCCGAACCCTAGACCTAGGCCTAATGATAGCGAGTGGCAGCGGAGGCTTGCGGGAAAGAGGTGATGGGGCTCATACACAGCTAGCAGGGGGGCAGGTTCAGTGGGGATTTGTATAACGGTGCACCACCTCAGCTGCAGGGACCCCTTCAGGGAGTGCGCCATCGGAGCCCCTCCAGCTCCCTGCTTTCTGCTCTCTGCTGACCCAGGCGGCGGGACCCACCCCCTGCTGGTCCCCTACGACACGCTGACTGCCAAGGAGAAGGCTCGAGATCGGGAGAAGGCCCAGGAGCTGCTGAAGTTCCTGCAGATGAATGGCTTCGCCGTTACCAGGCACGGGTTTACGAGCTGAGGGGCCTGGAGCATGGGAAATGGGCCGGAGCTGGGGGAGGCGGGGCCAGAGGGGAAGAGGCTAACAGAGGGATGGCCTGGGGAGCAGAGCAGAGGCGGGGCGGTGGGGGACTGGCCGTAGGTGGGACTGGGGCGGGGCCTGAATCCGGGCTGACTTTTCCCGCGCAGAGGCCTTAAGGACATGGAGCTGGACACATCCTCCATTGAGAAGCGGTTCGCCTTTGGCTTCCTACAGCAGCTGCTCCGTTGGATGGACATTTCCCAAGAGTTCATTGCCCACCTGGGTACATGAGGGTTCCAATGTCCCCTGGGAAGATTCCCAAGGGTTCCTTCCTTCTCCCCTCCTCCACTCTCTTCATCATGGATTTACGGAGCATCCCCTGGGGGCGGGGCACCGTTCTGGATGCCCAGGACACACAGCAGTGAGCAAGACAAGGGCCTTACCCTTGAAGAGTGTATCTCCCTGGGTACTCCAGACAGCTGACGCCATCCATTAGTGCAAGCAGGTGGCTAGGTTTGCAGGGAGAAGACAAGTGGAGCCAGGGTAAAGAGTGTGGGAAGGCGGGAGACACCCCCCCCCCCCAGCACAGGACCTAGGAGATGGGGGGTGGGGTATGCTGCTCTCTGGGGGAAAGATGGCCAGTGCAGAGGCTGAAGCAGGAGAGTTAGCTCCGTTGGGGCTCAAGAACAACAGGCAGTGCTTTGTAGGCCATGGGGAAGACTTTTTTATTTCCAGCAAGATGGAGGAGGGCCGTGAGCTTGATAAACTGCAAGGTCAGCAGTTTGAGTTCACCAGCCACTCCGAAGGAGAAAGAGGTGGCTTTCTCCTCCTGTAAAAGAGTAATATCAATTAGTCATTGGAACTTGGAGTGTATGAATCTTGGAAAATTCAACGTTGCCACAAATGAAACGGAACACATGAAGGTCGGTATTCTAAGTGATGATGAGCTGAAGCGGACTGGTATTGGCCATGTTGAATCAGAAAATCATATGGTTTACTATAGTAGGAGTGACACAAAGGAGAGGAATGGTGTCGCGTTCCTTGCCAAACAGGACTTCTATCTTGGAAGTTCAATGATGTCCGTGATAGGATATGGTCTATTTGCTTGCAAGGAAATCCAATGAATACAACTACTATTCATATATGGACCAACCACCAAAGCTAATGATGCAGACATTGAAACATTCTATGAATTGATCGAACATGCAATCAAGATGCGGTGATAATGATTCGTGACTGGGATTCATTTGTGAGCCACAAAGGGGAAAGAGCAGTAGTTGGGAAATATGGTCGTGGCAATAGCTGAAGATTCTAGGGTAGAACTTTGAAGGACCAACGACTTTTTCATCACAAATACCTTTCTCGGCAACACAAAAGGTGGATTTCTCCAGATGAAATACACAGAAACCAAGTAGGCTACCTCTATGGAAAGAGATTATAGAAAAAGCTCAATATCAGCAACTAAAACTAGGTGAGGGTCAACTTTGGAACTCCTAAGTAGTTCAGGTTGAAGTTGAATAAGGTGAAAGTAAGTCCACCCAAACCAAAATAAAACCTTGAGTCTATCCCACCCAGATTTCAAGTACATCTCAACAACAGGTTGGCTGTGTTAAACACTAGTGGCAGATGAGCGGGGAGAATGTCAAGAACGTCCTTCGTGAAGACAGCAAAAGGTCTTTACAATGCCAGGAAAGAGAGATGAGATCACCGTGGGTGTCAGAAGAGACTCTGAAACTTGCTCGTAATCATAGAGTCTCTGAGGCAAAAAGAAGACGTTGTGAAGTCAAAGAGCCGAACCGAACATTTCAAATGACAGTTCAAGAAAACAAATTATTATAATGAGATGCACAAAGAACTAGAGTTAGCAAACCAAACACCAGCCGATCTTAAATCGAAAGAACTCAAGGGGAAAAAATGCAAGCCAAAGTGGCAATCTTGAAAGATCCCATGAGCAAAATATTGAACCATGTAGGAAGCATCCAAAGAAGATGGAAAGAATACACAGAGTCGCTGTATCAAAAAGAACTAGCCACTACTCCACCATTTCAGGTGGTCCCATGTGAGCAAGAACCAATGGTACTGAAAGAATAAATTCAACAACAACAAAAGAATAAATTCAAGTTTCACTGAAAGCATTAGCTAAAAACAGGGCTCCAAGAATTCATGGAATGCTAATTGAAATGTTTCAGCAACCTGATGAGGCACTAGAAACACTCATTCATCTATGCCAGGGACTTTGGAAGACAGCTACTTTGGGTAACTGACCGAGGAGGCCAAAAAATCCACATTTATACAAATGCCAAAGAAAGGTGACCCAACAGAATGCTTAAATTATAGAACAATACCATTGGTATCGCATGCAAGTAAAGCTTTGCTAAATATCACCCAACAGCATTGCAGCAGTACACTGACAGGGAGCTGCCAGAAATTCAGGCGGGGTTCAAAGGAGGTCGTGGACCAAGGGGACATCATTACTGATGTCAAATGGATCTTAGCTGAAAGCAGAGAGCACCAGAAAGGTGTGTGCTTGTGTTTGACTGACTATGCAAAGGCATTCTACTGTGCGGATCATAACTAACTCTGAATAGCCTTGTTGGGAAGAATGGGAATTCCAGAACACTTCACTGTGCTCGTGTGGAACCTGTACGTGGATCAAAAGGCGGTTGTGCCAACAGAACAAGAGATTACTGCTTGGTTTAAAATCAGGTAAGGCATTGTATTAGTCTGGGTACTTTAGAGAAACAAATCCACAGAAACTCATGTCTAAGAGAGAGTTTTATATAAAGGTTAAGTGCGCATCAAGCAAACATCCCAACCCAGTGCTGCCCAAGCCCACAAGTCCAACATTAACCCATATGTCCAACACCAATCCACAAAGTCCTCCTCCATCTCACAAAGCAGATGCAATGACGCCGACTGCAGGAGGAAAGCCGAGTCAGTGAATGTGTAATCATCTCAGCGCTGGCAGGGTCTCCACACGGCTGCTCCAGCACCCAGGACTGCATCGGGGTAGGTCCATGTGGCTTCTCCTCAGGATGTCTTGCAGGAAATGAGCCTTGTTAGCTGAAGCAGGGAACTGGCTAAGGCAGCTGCACCCTGATCCGACCACCACAAAGCAAGAGACCTGAGAACTCAAAAGGCGAGGCTCACTGAGCCATTTATCCCTCCGCCCTTCAATGAACCCCACCTGTGTTTATCGGCCAGGTTGGCACAATAAACTAACTACCTCAGGCACGCATTGTATTTATTCAATCTGTATGCTGAGCAAATGATCAGAGAAGCTGGATCATAGGAAGAAGAGTGTGGTATCAGGATGGGAGGAAGGCTTATTAACCACCTGGGATATGCAGATGATACAACCTAACTGAAGGTGAAGAAGACTTTAAGTACTTGCTGATGAAGACCAAGGATTGTAGCCTACAGCATGGGTTGCAACTCAATGTAAAGACCACAATCCTCCCAACTGGACCAACAGGCAACATGATAAACAGAGAAAAGATTGAAGTTGTCAAGGGTTCCATCTTTTATCTTGGATACACAAGCAATGCTCATGGAAGCAGCAGTCAAGAGGTCAAATGACATTGCAGTCGGTCCAACTGCTGCACAAGAGCTCCTCGAAGTGTTGAAAAGCAAGAATGCTACTCTAAGGACCGAGATATCTTCAGTTTCTTCGTATGCATGCGAAAGTTGGACATTGCATAAGGAAGACCGAAGAATCGATGTGTTTGAATTGTGGTCCTGACGATAAAGACTGAAAGTACCACGGACTGCCTAAAGGACAAACAGACCTGTGGTGGAAGAAGTACAGCCAGAGTGCTGCTTAGAGGCCAGGATGGCGAGACTTCGTCTCACCTTCTGTGGATATGTTCTCAGGAGAGGCCAATCCTGGAGGAAGACATCATGTTTGGTAAAGTGGAGGGGCAGTGAAAAAGAAGGCCTTTGATGAGATGGATTAGCACAGTGGCTACAACAACGGGCTCAAACATAAGAATAAATGTGAGGATGGTGTGGGACCGGGCAATGCTTCATTCTGTTATACATGAGTCGAAGCTGATTGAATGGCACTTCACAACAACAATAACGAAGACTTACGGTCTTGGAAACCCACAGTCAGTTCTGCCCGGTCCCACACGATCGCCGTGAGTCGGGATTAACTCAATGGCGAGTGAGTTTGAGTTTTGCTTTGTTTTGAAGTAAAGTTGACTTCTGTTTTAAAGTTAATCCGAGGCTGTATACATCAACTTCTTGTTTCATTTGGTTCATTCATTAATTGGTTCCAATTTTACCAAGTGCTGGCTACTGAGCTTCAGAAAGAAGGGGCTTTGTTGTGATTAAAGAGGAGACTGCTACTGGGACTTCCTTCATCCTGGTCTGCCCTCCCTCTGCATTCCCAGCCTCAGGAAAGGTTTGCTCAAGGGGTCAAGGAGGCTCGGATGGAAAGTAGGAGAGAGAGACTTATTTCAAAGCTAAAAGGTGACTTCACACCAAGAATTTATCTTCCATCATTGTTGAATGCTTCCCCCAAGTCTCTTCCCTTCAAAACCCCTTAGCTTCCCCAGGCTGGACACCCCACCCACCACCCACCCCTACCATAATCCTTGCCTTTCTTCTTCCACCAGAGGCGGTGGTCAGCAGTGGGCGAGTGGAAAAATCCCCCCATGAACAGGAAATTAAGTTCTTTGCCAAGGTGAGAGGTTGGCTCAGAAAGGGAGGGGACTGGGGGACGGGGTGGGCTCTCTACACGCTTCACCCAGTGCCCTTATCTCCTCTCCCCACCAGATCCTGCTTCCCTTGATTAACCAGTACTTCACCAATCACTGTCTCTATTTCCTGTCCACCCCGGCCAAGCTGCTGGGCAGTGGTGGCCATGCCTCCAACAAGGAGAAGGAAATGATCACCAGGTGGGCCAGCCTGTGACCTCTGACCCAGCCCCCTGACCTCACAGAATTGTCCTTACCCTGACCTTGAGCCTCAAGGGCCCTGCGGGGATAGGGGTGGAGGACAGGGCTGGCACTGGCCTCTTCATGTACAGAAATGATTCAAGGGCCAGAGTGACCAGTGCCCTGGTTTGCCTGGATCTGAGGGGCTTTCCAGGGGTGGGGGCTTCCAGTGCTAAAACGTCTCAGACAAACCGGGGTGAGTGGCTCACCCTGCTGGAAGTCCTGGTGATAGATGATCGGTGATCGTAGAGCATCTCCATGACGTTCCAGCGTGCTCACTTCTCTGCCCGTCTCCTCCTGTCTGATTCTTCTCTTCCTCCATGTCCTGCCTGCTCCCACCGTGTCCCTTCTGTTCTGGTCTCTGTGGTCTCCCCAACCCCTTTCTCTCCCTTCAGCCTCTTCTGCAAACTCGCTGCTCTTGTCCGACACCGAGTCTCTCTCTTCGGTGAGTCCCTCGCGCCCCCAAACCTTCATTCCTCTCTTCTTCTCAGTGCCGTCCCCGCCCAGAAGAAATATTTCCCAGGTTCCTCCCTTTAGTCCAACTTTCCACTTCCGTTGGCTCCGACAATCTGGAGACAGTAGCCTGAGCGTTCCCTGGCCCTGCCTGGGAAGCTCCCTGGCCACAGGAGAGACAGTCATCCTGGGACAGGGATGACCACAGGGCTGGCATGAGAGATGTGCAGGCGGACCGGGAAAGGCCAGGCAGGGGGTCAATCCAGGATGGGGAGCGCCTGGAATTGCGGGAACCTTGTGCAAGGAGCCCGAGTGGTGTAGTGGGTTATGTACTGGGCGGCTCACCGCAGGGTCTTTCTTGATACAGCCTGGGGAGAAAGCGGTTTTCTACCTGTAAAGAGTCTGTTTCTGCAGCATTCGCTCTCCCGATGGAGCCAGCGACATTTCAGAGTTGTCGCAGGGAGGAAGGTTGGGTGGTGATGCAGGGAGCGAGTCCGAGTTGCTGGCCCTCCCCTCACCCTGCCTGTCTTCTCTCCCAGGGACCGATGCCCCCGCCGTGGTCAACTGCCTGCACATCCTGGCTCGATCCCTGGATGCCAGGTCGGGCTCTGGGCCGTGGGGTCCGCTCCCAGCGAACCCCAGCCTCCCCTTGGGGCCTGTTCTCCTCACCTCTCTGAAGTCAAGACTCTGAATCTCTAGCCCTGAGCGGGGGCCCCCCCACCCCCCTTCTGTCCTAGGACGGTGATGAAGTCGGGCCCCGAGATCGTCAAGGCCGGCCTGCGCTCCTTCTTCGAGAGCGCGTCTGAGGACATTGAGAAGATGGTGGAGAACCTCCGGCTGGGCAAGGTGTCGCAGGCGCGCACCCAGGTGAAGGGTGTGGGCCAGAACCTGACCTACACCACCGTGGCCCTGCTGCCCGTCCTCACCACCCTCTTCCAGCACATCGCCCAGCACCAGTTCGGAGACGACGTCATCTGTAAGGATGCTGGGTCCCAAGGACGGGGGGCCGGAGGGCGGGATTCACCTAGGTCATACTGCTGCAGCAGACTCACAGGGGGCCAAACTCACCACCATGGAATCGGTTCCGACTCACAGCAACCCTATAGGATGGGGTAGAACTGCCCTTGTGGGTTTCTGAGACAGTAGCTCTGTATGAGAGTAGAAAGCCTCATCTTTCTCCCAAGAAGTGGGTGATAGTTTTGAACCGCTGACCATGAGGTTAGCAGCCCAATGTGTAAGCACTGTGCCACCGGGGCTCCACCCCTCACGGGTGGCAGAGTGAGTTGATTCAGGGTAAGTCCAGCAGCTTCGAACAGAAGACTCCAAACCACTGTAGCTTCCACCACATAGAAGTTCCTTTTCTTTCTCAAAGAATAATAATCCACAGTGGCACAAGTCTTCAAATCCTGCTGTCTGGTTACTCAGCCACCTCTGAAATATTGCCTGTTTCCGCCTGGGCTAAGTTGGCTCACCATTGGCATCCTCATTCTAGCCATCAAAGCCGGAGATCCTGTTAGTGACAGAGGCCAATGACGACCCGGCTTACACCCCGCCACCCAGAGACCCCTGGTGGCAGCTGGGGGAAATGCTGCCCAGTCCTGCACCACCCCCGTGATTGCTTGTGGACCAAAAGTGTTGTGACCCACAGGGTGTTCCTTGGCTGATTTTCAGAAGTAGACCAGCAGGCCTTCCTTCCTAGTCTGCCTTAGTCTGGAAGCTTTGTGGAGACAAGCTCAGCAGCATGAGGACACGCAGGTCCTCGTGGGCATGTAAGTGGTGGCTGTGTGCGAAATCCATCGGCCGGGAACGGAGCCCTGTTTTGTGTGGAAGAAAGGAAAGAAGCCGACCTCTGAACCACCAGTGCCCTCACTCAATCCTGTAACGTGACCCCCTGAGAAGAACTTGGTCCGGGGCCTTACGTAGCTGCATGGAGGCTAAGAAGGTCATCTTTGTCCTGGGAGGCTCTGTGTCAAGTCACATGTTGCTTGCCTCGATGCTCCAAGAAAAAGCCAGCACTGAAGGACCATGATGTGTGTGCTGGCATGTGACACATACGGCGTGTGTGCCCCACGTCCGGATGCCGTGATCCAGTGGACTGTTGGTCAGATCAGGGCCACAGGAGACACCAGCGGGCTGTGTCCAGCGGCACTCCTAAGAGCCACAGGAGGGGGGCGGGGCGCGTGGGAAGGTCAGGAAGAGGCAGGGAGAAAGGCCGTAGGAGCTGATCCACTGCGGGGACCTGGAGGGGGCCATGTCGGAGGTCACTGTGTCTCTGAATGCAGACCCTCTTTCGAAACCTCGCCTCGGCCCCTCTTGATGGGCCGCGTGGAATGGAAGGTGTTGGAGACCTGGGGGAAGTAAGAGGAGCCTTGACTATCTTGGGCTCTTTATAGGCAAGCATATTCAGTAGTTACCTAAGTCACAAGGTGGGTGGTATCTGCATTAAGGTCCCTGAGCTCACAGGTGAGGAAACCTAACGCCTGCATTGGGGGACGGTACAAGGGGGGCTGGGTGTCATGGGAAGAGAGAGCAAAAGGGTGGTGTCTGCTTCTATAGGGAGACAGAATCAACCAGGTGCTCACTTTAAGGCCACATAGCTACAAAGGAGAGAATTTATAGAAAAGATTTTGGGAGGGGGGGTGAGTCACATTGTTTTATTATTTTTTATGGGAATTCTTTTTTAAAAATCATTTTTCTGGGGGCTCATACAACTCTTATCATAATCCACATATACATCCATTGTGTCAAGCACATTTGTACATTTGTTTCCCTCATCATTCTCAAAACATTTACTTTCTACTTGAGCCCTTGGTATCAGCTCCTCATTTTTCCCCTTTCCACTCCCCCCTCCCTCATAAACCCTTGATAATTTATAAATTATTATTGTTTTGTCATATCTTACCCTGTCCGGCGTCTCCCTTCACCCGCTTTTCTGTTGTCCATCCCCCATGGAGGAGGTTATCTGTAGATCCTTGTCATCGGTTTCCCCTTTCCACCCCACCCTCCCCGGGAATATTTAACGCAGGATAATGTACCTGGACTGTAGCTCTAACTTACCACAGTGGAGGCTTCCCTACCCCGGAACGCCGGCTTTCCAGACTCCCTGTGTGACCAGTTAGGGAATCGAGCCCTCCTCCTATTCCCGTTAGTGTCCCACAGGTGGGAAATAAGGAAACCTTCTTTATGATTCTGACTTTGGTCCCACATGGCCGCCTTCTCACGTGATCTCTCACAAAGCAGTAGTAGTGGTAGTGGTGGCCAGACACTGTCTACTTCTCGTTTCAGGGTTATAGCGGCTGATACAGGTGTGGTCCAGTAACCGGACCATATGGAAATGTCCTTCATTCTCCACACAGCGTGTTCTTCCCCGTTCAGATTCGAGTCAGGGTCCTCACCCTGCCTTTGGTCATTAGCTCTGTAGTCCCTTGGATCTAGACCTGCCTCCTCTCTCCCTCTCTTTTGTTTCGTGACGCTTGTGGGGTTCATGAGGCTCTGTACCTGGCCTTCTGAGGGTAAGGCAGGAAGTGGGTAGCTTAAGACTGTTGTTGGCATCGCATGTTGATTCACCTTTTCCTGGAACGAGCATCCAACACATTCATCAAAGAGATCCACGTGCCCACACTTTCATCAAAGAGATCCACGTGCCCACACTTTCATCAAAGAGATCCAC